GTAGGGGCCAGAGGAGGCGTGTGTTCTGGTGTGTTGTGAGAACACTCGCCGGGCTTGAAAAATAAATAGCGTTCGTGGTGCTACTAGAAACCTTTTCCTGTGCCTTAGGAACCATCAGTTCTCCCGTCCTCGCAAAGTGCATCAAAAAGGGAGAGAGCGAAGAGCTGTGACCTGCACAGATCTCCATATATGTTGGTTTTGGTTCTTTTTTTTGCTTTAAATAGAACCCAATTAAAAAAAAAAGCAGGAATTAAGTCATCAGTAATGTGTCAGCCTGAGGCATGAGCCAGAGCAAAGCAATGATACTGTCTTCCTGTTATTATTTTTTATTTTTAACACCCTGTTCTTGGTTCTGGAGGGGGCTCCAGCCTCTCGCAGTGGCCCTGCGGGGCTGTCGTGGCCTCGTTTGTGCTGGTGACTGCGCGCAGGGGACAGTTTGTTGGGTCGCAGCTCAGTGGCTCTGGGGAGGAGGAGGACGGCTCCGTGAGCTGCTGCTCACACAGGAGCCAGAGGATCACCGTTCTTTCTGTGATTGCTTCCAGGTTCTGGGAAGGATGACCACGCTCACGCGGCAGGACCTCAACTTTGGGCAAGGTACCGTGTTGCGCCACGCGGCGAGCTGGTGCGCTCGCGAGCTTTCTGCTGGGATTGTTGTCGGAGGGTTGCTCCATCCCTAACCTTCCTGCAGCTAAGGGGAGGCAGGCAAAATTGAAGCAGGGAAAAATGTCTAAGAAAAATCATAATTCCTGAGTATATTGCTCCCCCCACACTCCCTGCTTCAGCATCCTTTGCTTTCGTTTCTCAGTTGTTGCAGATGTTCTCTCAGAATTCCTGGAAGTGGCCGTTCACCTTATCTTATATGTCCGAGAAGTTTACCCTATTGGGATCTTTCAGAAGAGGAAAAAATACAACGTACCGGTCCAGGTAGGAGATTTTCCTGGAAGCTGACAGCCACATGGACAAGCAGAAGGGCAGGAATCAGTCAACACTCCCCACAACAAACTGTAATTACTCCCAGAGTTTGTTTTAATGCGCAAACTCATTTTCAAAGAGAACTTTGTTCCTGCCAAGGGGGAGCTGAGGGTACCCATGAGGGCACTCATGGAACAAGCAGAGCATGGACAAGAGCAGCAGGAGGCTTCCCCAGCTGTGAGCAGCAAGGGGACGTGAGAGCACGCTCCCTGGGAAGCAGAGGTGGTGGGAATATTCTATTCCCAAGGTGCTGCTGTGGGTGAATATTCCCAGTGTGCTCCAGCTGTGTGAGCTGCCTCAGCTGGTCAACCCTTCCAGGAAGGAATTACTGAACGAGCGTATTTTCCCCACTGACTTGCCACTCTGCAGCGTGACTCAGGTGCCTTGTGACACCCCGGTGCCCTTTAGCACCGTCCCTGCTCTCCTCAGAGCCCGGCTCTGACTGCTGCCTGTGTTTGCTGCAGATGTCCTGCCACCCGGAGCTGAACCAGTACATCCAGGACACGCTGCACTGCGTGAAGCCGCTGCTCGAGAAGGTGAGAGCGTGTCAGGGGCCTGGGCAGGAGCACTGCAGGTGGCTGGTCAGAGCACGTCAACTACAGCTTTACCAGAGACGATGCACAAGCTGATGAAGTTACCAACAACATTAAAAATAACATCCCTGAGCAGCGAGGCCCTGCCTTGCTGCTGCGTTTATTTGCATCTAGTACGTACAAGTGAGGAATTACATCTCTTTGTTTTCAGTTACAGAATCCTGCACGTTAACGTTCTGCTTTTGAATACCTTCATGTTTAAACACCTTTCTGGCAGAACGGTTTGAACACTTTGCTGTGAGCCAGCAAGCAGAGGGAGACTTGAACTCGAGGGTTTGGGGATTTTTTTGCAAGAGAAAGGTGTGACCACATGAAACGTCAGGATGTAGATTTTACATTCTCTGCTCTTTAGAGACGACCTTAACGCACAGTTAGAGAATGGAAATAGATCAGGTTTAAATTGTGTTAGGACAGAGCCAGTGTATTTGGCCAACGGGCTAAGCGCATCTTAACCTCCTCATCGTGCTCCGCTCCGGAGTGATGCTGTACGTCTCCTCCTCCTTTGTTCCAGAGCAGCATCCAGGGGAACGGGCTATTCAGTGCCCTTCACCTCCCTAGGCCTGAGCAATAAGCAATCAGTTGAACGTCGAGCGAGAAATGGCTTTGTAAAAGCTTTGTTTCTGATCAGTAAAATAATCTGACCGTGCTCCAGCTGTGGGTGAGCGCCAGTGCTGTGAGCCACAACAAACCCTCACGCTCCTGCTTCACCAGAAGGGTGTGAAGCACACCGGGGGCAGGAGACAGCTTGTTTTAAGGAAGCTTTTTTTTTTTTCCCCCTATCTTTGTTCTTGCAGAATGATGTGGAGAAAGTCGTAGTTGTAATCCTGGACAAAGAGCACCACCCCGTGGAGAGATTTGTCTTTGAGATCACGCAGCCACCTCTGCTTTCCATCAGGTAAAGTGGCTGCTG